CAAGCCCTGGGGATCTTCCCATGTCTGCGCCATGTCTGTGCATCCACATCCTGTGCCAGTTAGTTTTTTTGTTGTTGTTTTGCTTATTTATTTTATTTTGTATGTGCTTGTGTCAACTTTACACATGTTAGAGTCATCTAGGAAGACAGAATGTCAGTTAAGGCCTTGCCTCCATCAGATTGGCCAGAGGGCATGTATGTAGGGCATTTTTCTTGATTAAAGAATGATGTTGGAGGGTCTATCTCACTGTGGTTGTATCAGTCCCAGACAGGTGGGCCTAGGTTATATCAAAAAACAAGCAGAGCAAGCTATGAAGAGTAAACCATTAAGCATCATTCCTCTATTGCTTCTGCTTCAGTTTCTGTGTCCAGGCTCCTGCTGGGTCCTCCGTACATCCCCATCCACTCAACTGCATACCCTTTTTGTTTTGTTTTTAACAAACAAAACAAGAAACAAATGCACCCCAAAAGGCCTACACTAAAATATGAATGTGGAAACCTAAATATACAAGGATAAATAAGATTAAAAATGCAACCCCTGCCTGCCCCAGTAGGGTGTTGGTGGTGCATGCCTTTAGTCCCAGCACTCAGGAAGCAAGGGCAGGCAGATCTCTGTGAGTTCGAGGCCAGCCTGGTCTACAGAGCAATTTCTAGGACAGGATAGGCTCCAAAGCAATACAGAGAAACCCTGCCTCGGGGGGGGGGGGGGGAAAAAAAAAAGAAAAAGAAAGAAGGAAAAATACCCCTCCCCCCAAAATAGTGAGTTATTGTGTTGGCTTGGGTACTGGGCCTACCCTGAAGTGTGGTTAAAACACCTAGTGTATTTATGATGGACCACACTTGTAAACTGAAATAAACCCTTTCCAAATTGCTTTTGGTTATGGTTTTTATCACAGCGATACAAAGTGGACTAGGACAGGTCTTCATGCTTACACTGCAAGCATTTCTCCACTCAACTGTCTGCATAGTCAGTAACCACCTCTTGATATTTTAAAATCTAAATTTCTTGGCCAGCTTGTAGCTCTTACTAAAATTGTTCAATCTTACTGAGGCCATGGGCTTTGGAGCTTTTACAATTTGTCTCCCTTATTTTCTTTACTTGTTCAGTTTACAGGTCATTCTGTTTTTGTTTATGTTTGTTGTTGTGTTTTTTGTTTTTTTTTGTTTTGTTTTGTTTTTTTTTTTTTTCTAGATAGGGTTTTTCCGTGTAACCCTGGCTGCCCTGGAACTTGTGCTGAAGCCCAGGCAGGCCTTGAACTCAGAGATCCACCTGCCTCTGCCTTCTGAGTGCTGGGACTAAAAGGTGTGTGCTACCAATGCCAGGTGAGAAATGCTTTCTTAACTGAGCCATTTCTCAGACCTTGTACTCTGAACTTTTATTCACATCTTTTAGGCACACTATAAAACATTCTTCCCTGTACAAGACCAAATACACTTGTAAGATCCTATCATATTTAAAATTATACAAAATAATTTCCCCTTATCAATTTCTTCTTAGCATCCCTAAAACAGTCACACTGCAAATTAAAGCATGGGCTTCAAAATGAAGGAAGGTATGAATTTAGATCCTGGTACTATGAAAGACAGGCTATATAATTTGGGAGTTTATTTTATTTGCAGCTTGTTCAGAGTGTTGACAGTGTATATGTGAAGGCTCTTTCATAAGGAACAGCACTCAGTAGATGGGGAATGGACATCCTTGCCTTTCCTGACTGGTTCCAGAGATCTCAAAAAGTCCCAATACTATTTTGGGGATTTTTAAGATTTTTAAAAATTAAAAAAAATTGTCTTATACATATGAATTTTTTGCCAATGTGTGTATGAGCATCACATGTGTTTCTGTGTCTGCAGAAGTCAGATGGCTTCAAATCCCCTGGAACTAGAGTACAAGTGGTTGTGAACCTCCACAATTCACATAGGGGCTAGGACCAGAACTCCAGTCCTCTGTAACAGCTCACTATTGTAATAAATGCTCTCAACCACTAAGCCATCTCTCTAGTACTTTGAAGATTTTTAAATCCTCTGTTATGTAGCAGTTTCCTTAGAAATTCAAACATCCATCATGAAGCGCCTTATGCAGAAAGGTAGAACAACTCAAAACCAGCTCCAGGTTTCCAGCTTCATGAGCTGTCGCTGGTGCTGGGGTGAGCTTTGGTGATGCAGCTGCCTTTTAGTCATTTCTGCTACTGTAAGTAACCTGTATTCCTGTAAGTAACCCCAGTAAAACTCATTGACTCATCTAGTTGGAATTTGGTGGAACCCATACCTTGGTCTGTAGTGGGCTCCCAATCTGGGGTGCAGATGTGTATGTATCTCTCCAGGATGTCACACAAAATCCTGTTCATCACTAGCAGATCTACTGCTAACCACTAATACTGACTTCAAGCCAGTATTTAGAATGGCTGTTTGTGATCACACGATAAAATCATGTCAGATACAATATATCATTTGGTCCCACCCTACCTTTTAGCTCTAGCTTACACTATTTTCAGGAAATGTCTTTCTTGCATCAGGGCTAGCCTGTTTTATTTTCCTTCATGGTATTCACTAGCCAATATACTTCCTTCTTCTGGACCATCCTCATGCTATTCAAGGTTTAGCATAATATGTAGACAATTAATGTTTTTCAACATTGGGAATTTTAAAATACAATTAATGTTTTTCAACATTGGGAATTTTAAAATAAACCTTGTATTCTCAACGGAGAAAATGCTTCATTTCGTGTTAGATTGGTATGAAAGTAACATCTCTATTGGCTTCCATTCCAAAATTAAGTTATTAAAAAGTATTTCCCATCAATATTTGCTTCAAAAGTGGTGCACAGTTAAGGAAGAAGCTTTGTGGTTGAACACTTGTCTAGCATGTACCACAGAAGACCTATGTGCAGTTGATGGCACACACCTGTCACCAGAGCACTGGGGAAGTTGAGGCAGGAGCACTGGGTTACCTTGTCTTAAGAAAACAACAAAATGGTATACAATAAATATTTTTCTAGTATTTGACGTAGTATCTCACCCATCTAGGTAAAACAGCCTGTAAAGTAAGTCAGTTTGTAAAGACTTAACTCCTTTTTTTGCTCAGTTATACTTGGGATTTCCCCAACAGAGGTAGCTTTTCTTCCAGCATCAATGTTTTCACACTTTGATCATCAACCATGGATAAGTCTTTACCAAGACTGATTTTATTTAAAATGAACTTAGAACAGATTAATTCTTCTAAGCATTTTCCTATGACTTATGGTTATGACTTTACTATTTGTTACATAGCACAGGAACTTAATTGTAAAACACACATAAATTTGCCATATCAATTATTTAAAAAGTGTATACTTCAATGACTTAGTATATTTACAATCTTGTTTAACCATTTGGTGCTAGAACATTTTTATTCACCCAAAATGAAACTCCACAACCATTAGCTTAATCTCTACAAACTTAACTATTTTATAGAAACAGAATCATATTCATGGTCTTCTGTGTCTGGCTTACTTCACTTAGCATTTTTCTTTATTTTGGGGGGGTGGTGGTGGTGCAGTTCATGACAGGGTTTCTGTGTGTAGCCCTGGCTGTCATGTAACTGGCTCTGTCAACCAGGCTGGCCTCAAACTCAAGAGTCCCCTGCTACTGTCTCTCTGAATGCTGGGATTAAAGGAGAGGAGACCACCACAAAGCTCACATAGCATTTTTTTCATTGTATACTAATATCAGTTCCTGTAGTAATCCTGCCTCAGCCTCCCAATAGTCAGGGATTGCTGGTAGTACCTACAGTGTTGCCTTTATTCCTTTTAGTTTAGATTGAAAAATTGTTTTTCCAGAAATTTCGTGTTAGACTGGATGAATAATGAACTAACAGCAATCCCACTCCTACTCTTTTGGGTTTTGTTTGTTGATTTTTATATGCAAGGCTATGTCTAAATAGTGATTCTCCAACACTATGTAAAAAGCTACCCAGGAAACCTATTTTAAAATTCAGATTGCTAGGTCTCAGGGCCAAAAGACCACAGATAAATTTAAATAAGCACCTAAGTGATGCTGATAGGCAAACTTCCCACTATGCTTCAGGGATTCTTTCTTAGGTGAAAACAACTCAGGCAGAGGGCACTAAAAGGAAAAAGCCCATTTGTCCTAAGTCTGTAAAATTTAAAATTTGTTTAGTTAGCACACAAAGTAGAGGCTACATTGCACATGTACCATTCTAGTTTATCCCTTTTCACCCTCCCACATTCCATTACCTTCTACCCAAACCAGAAACTTGGGTGTCAATCTGACTGTAGTTTATTTGCTTTGCCAAGAACAGTCTTTCCAAGGTAGCACCATTTTCTTCCTTTTACTAAGAGAAGTCTGAGCAGAAGCAACATGCAATAGTGAGGCAGTCTTGCTCAGCCATCATTCCTAGGAATCCCACTACAAATGGCTGCCGGGGTGTTTCAGCAACTTTGGGGCTTAAAAAAACTGTACTCAATCTCTCTACTTTTGGCAACTGCTTTTTAAAAGAGGCTTAAATTAGAAACTGTCACTTTGATTGGGCCCCCTCTCAAAAGACAGATACGTATTTCCTGCAGACACAGAACTACTTAATGTGGGGCTCTCCAAAAAAACAAAAATCACATTCCTTCCCGTTAACTGCTTACAAGTTTTAGACAGTTGACATTTCTTTTTAGATCCAGCAATATAAGGGTGGTGGCACCACTTGGAAGGTGATTATTTTTTTTCTTGTTCTAATTCATTGTAACCTTTAAAAATACAAAATTACTTAGATGTGGTATTACTCATATTTCACAGAAGCTAAAAGAACTCTCTCTCCTTTACATTAAGAAACAAAAGCCCCATAAATCACAATCTGCAACAAGAGAATTCCCATAAAAATTGAATGCAGTGCCTTTTCAAAACCTTCCTCTGACCCTGCTATACCTTCCTCTGACCCAGACAACCATCTGCATCAATGTATCATCTTCTTTATATGATGACTCAAAATTAGGGAAGTACAAATCACAGCAAAAAATTAAAGTTTTCATCTTTAATGAAATGACTTTGGAAATAACGTACATCTCCTTGACACCAGCAGTTTTTGGAGTCACAGCAAGATACACAGAATTACATCCGTAATTTCTATGAATGCCAACATTTCAGGCAGTAATTTCTGTTACATGGCAAACAAGATCAAGAAAGCAACCATCAAACAAAAGAGACCCATAGCTTCAGACAAGGCAAATCCCAGGATAGCATAAGAGAACAGCTGCTGCTTCAGTGAAGGGTTTCTAAAAGAGACACAACACAGATGATTGTTACTTTGAAACATTAACATCAACACATTTGGTAAATGGTAAAGAATCAGATAACTAGTATGAGGATCTCTGCAAACTAGAAAGTTCTATGGAGGTGGTATCTCCCTAATACTACTTTGCTTCTGCCTCTCAAATTCCTTTTTTTTTTTTTAAACCCACTCCTAATCATGTGGCAAAAAGTTTGGGAGCCATCTTTGTGTGCAAATATAAATACTTAGTTTATACCCATTTTGAGGGGTCCTGATATTCTTGAGGCTGGCTTCACACTTGTGACCTCTAGTCTCTCTCCTGGCTGGTTGGGTGATAGTGTGCCCTTATCTCAAGTACCTAATGCACACTGCTCCCCAAACATACTACTTCACCGCTTTCCCACTTTCACCTATAGCTTCCCAGTCTCTCAACTTAATCTGGGACAATTACCTGGCATAACCAATGATAAGGCTGCCAAAGACTGTTCCAATACCAGCACCAGAACCAGCAACTCCTACTGTTGCAGCACCTGCACCGATGAATTTGGCAGCAGTATCAATGTCTCTGCTGATTGCACTGGTCTGAAACTCCCTTCGGATCAGCTGACACATACCATTCTGAGCCCCATTAATTACTGTAGAGCCCTGGAAACAGGAGATAAGGCAAAGGTCAACTCAGTAATCACATCTGTACTGCCAAAACGGCAAACTCTTTATATTGCAGCTTGGTATGAATAAACAATTGTATGGTACAATCAAAAAGAAAAGCAAGAACTTGGAATAATTATTATCTTGTATAAGATAACAATCTCTACCTATGCCTTCCAGTTGTCAAAAACAGAATATGTGAATATATTTTTCAACAGAAGGCTCTTTTTGATAATCATGACTATTTTAATCTCAAGTACAAATAACTCAAAATCACAAATAACTTAAATACAAATACAGACTAAAGTGTTTGTTTGCTAATTCAGGAGGTTGCCTTGGCCACCCGAGTTTTTCTCAGTGGCTCACACTCTATATATTTATTGTCTGGTAAAAGTGGAGAGAGGCTCTCCTGGAACCATTCATTCAACAAATTCACCCCTTCACAAAATCGCAAGTTTAGGCAGGATTTCCTAATTTCTACCATTACTACTTACCTCTCCAGTCCTAGTCTCTGGTCGAGATAACACTGATGCAGAAATTGGTCTATATGCAACTCTGGATCCAGCTCGGATCTATTAATGGAAGGAAAGGAAAAATTTCAAGTATAAAGACTACAGGTGAGTCTTCTTGTAGCCATAAATTCTAAAGGGGAAAGCAGAAGAAAATGAGCAGAGATTTATCTGCACAATTATCTTGGCTGTTTGGTCCTTTTGGATACACAAAGCCAAATCAACGACACTTCATGCTAACAAATTGTAAAACGTGCTATCTGATCTATTTGTGAACTAAAATCCCCAGAACAAAAGTTAAAAAGTGACAGTGCTTCTGTGGACGTTTCAGTAAGTGTAATGCTGTAATTCAAGTAATTATGTGGGCCTACAACATCAGGAACGCCACTGTCAATGCTGTCATTTAAAATAGTGCAGCAGTTAATTAATAAAGCTCCCAGTATTTTCAAAGTGCTCCTAAATATCCACTAATCATAAATTTACTACAGTTTAAGCAGTTCGATGGCAGCTTAAGAACCGGTGAAAAGCTCTCACTATAAGGACATCTTGCATTCTGGCTTCTCTGTCCTTGAGTGTCCACTACACTAAGGTCACAGAAAATCCCTTCAGAACCAGGACCCGATTCTCTAGGACAAATCCTTTCGATTCAGACTTCACTTAAAGTCTCCAAAGAGAGAGCTTCAGGGCTCCCCCACCACCTTCCTCCGCCCACACATGGAGGCAAAGTCCCTCCCTCTGCAGCGGCGAGTTTGACCTACAGACACGCATGGGAAGCGCTGCAGAGGCTACTAGGCCTCGGCGGCTCCCTCCTAAATCCCAGCACCCCGACCTTCGCGTCCACCCCAACTCCACGGGGACCGGGAGGTGAGGGTGGGGGAAGGGCGCGCTCAAGGAGCAAGGAGGCTGTGACCTACACGGAGTGGGCCCGCCAGGCCTCGGGGGACGGAGTGCCCGCCCCAGGGTCGGGAGGGAGGGAGGGAGGACATCGGGGCAAGGGTGAAGGAGAGCCGGCCCCTCAGCGGGTACGCTGGCCCGAGGCCTGGTTTACGCACCAGAGCGGGGGTGCGGGCGAGCTTGGCGCAGGCGAACATCTTTCCTCTTGGCGGTGCGGCGTGGATGTGGGTGACAGGCGACGTGGGCTCCTCTCCCGCTTCCTCTCTGCGGAGGGGAAAGAGGCTTAAGGTCGCGTCCCCCAGGGGCCTGCCCTTCCCAACCCGGGTCCCCAGGGTCCCCGCGCAGGCCGTCGGCGTGGCCGCGTGCCCGGGAGGTGCAAGCCCGGTGGATGGGGCCCAGCGGCCCGCTCCGCCCCAGCCCGGCCCCGCGCCCTCCGCTCACCTCCGCTTACCTCCCGAGGCGGCGGCGGCGACAGCGGCGGCAGAGGTCGAAGCAGTGGGGCTGGGCGCGCAGGCGCGGTACGGCTCTTATCCGGGACGCAGCACCCGGATGGAGAAGGCGGGGGAAGACGCTCAAGGTCACTTTGTAACAACTTTATTGGTAACCAGAAGTAAGACAATGACAGGCACTCTCTAACAGACTGGCTGGCATTGAAATGAAACAGAGCACACAGAAGACTAACCCTGGCGATGTTAGTGTCACTAGCGGTGAAGATAATGTTTAATCTTTTTCCGTCATTGCGGACAGAGCCTTGCGCTCTGAACGTGCCAGGCACCGGTTCCATCACAGAGCTACAAGCTAACCCTCTTTTCATTTTTATTACAGACAGGGTGAATTGCCCAGGCCTTGAACCTGTGGTCGTCCTGTTTCAGTCTTCCAATTAGCTGGGATCACAGGACCAGTTCCAGCAGGATTATTTCTTTTAAAGAACCCAGAAAGGGCGTTTAAAGACACCTAATCCTTCCTCAGAAAGAGGGCCTGATTACAAGTACTGCCCCCCCACCCCCCCACCCCCACCCCCACCCCGACTTCAAATGCTTTGCAACTCTGTATCCCAGGCTGGCCTCCAACTCATTGAGATCTGTCCCTGTCTTCCAAGTGCTGGGATTAAAGGCATTTACCACTGTGCTTAGCTTTCTTCCACTTTATAATTGGAAGAATTAAGAGATTATAATGTATCATAATTTTGGACTTTAAAATGTCTGGATATTCTTCAAAATATGTTCAGTACCTATTTTTGGTAACTTTGAAAAAACCAGATGAATGTCTCAGGTAAATGGCTGTTGTTGAACGTTTGGCCTTGTTATAGATTAAAAACAAATTTTTTTTGAGATTATAAGTACATAGTTTCTCCCATTTTCTTCCCCCGAACCCTCCTACATACTCAACTCCCTGTCTTTTTCAAGTTTGTGGTCTTTTTTCCCCTTCATATTTGTATGATATATTCCTAAATATAAAAATATAATTTGTGCTATCTGTGTAATGTTTTAATCATGGTGTTTTCCATGGCCCTCTCTCCAGCCCCAATCACCATTCTGTTTTTTGTGAATTTGACTACTTTAGGTTCTTCATGTAAGTCATACACTATTTGTCTTTTTGTAATGAGCTGCTGTTTCTTTTAATTTTCTTCTTCCTTTTTTTGTTTTTGTTTTTTTGTTGTTGTTTTGTTTTGTTTTTTTTTTTTGTTGTTGTTTTTGTTGTTTTTTTTTTTTTCAAGACAGGGTTTCTTTGTAGCTTTGGAGGCTGTCCTGGAACTCAGTAGACTAGGCTGGCCTCGAACCTGGAACTCACAGAGATCCACCTGCCTCTGCCTCCCAAGTGCTGGGATTAAAGCGTACGCTACCACCACTGGACTTTTCTTTTAATTTTTGTTACTTATACTTATGTGCTTATGTGAGGGCAGGCATGTATGTGTAGTGCATATGCCACAGTGTGCCTGACAAGGTCAGAGAGTAACTCAAGGGAGCCAGTACTCTTCTCCCCTTATGTGGATCCCAGGGACTGAATTCAGGTCATCAGGCTTAGGGACAAGCAAGCAGCTTTACTGTGAGCCATCTCACAGCATACCCAGCATACCCGTTGTTTTCTTAAGTTCATATTTGTGTTTTGAGATTGGATCTAATTTTATAGTTCATATTGGCTTGGAGCTTTGCATCCTTCTGCCTCAGCCTTGAGAATGCGGGGAACACAAGAGCGTGCACCACAGCACCTGGTTGGTAACTGATTTCTTTTACATAGCAGAAGTATTTATAGTTCATCCAGGTTGAGGTATTCTTTTATAAGGCTGGATAATATCCATGCCTGTATGTATGTGTGTATGTATGTATGTATCAATCACACTTGATTAACCACTCATTGGTGGTGGACGTTTGGGTCATTTCTACTTTTGGCTATTGTGAATAATGTTGCTATGATCACAGATGTAAGAATACCCATTTGAGTCTCCAGCTTGAATTCTTTTGGGCATATACCACAAAATACTGCGGAATCATATAATAATTGCACTTAAAAATGACATACTATTTTTCACAGTGGTTGTATAATTTTTTATTTCTACAGTAAATACAAGGTTTCCAGTCTCTCCACATCCTTATCAGGGTGTACACTCTTACACACTCACTCTCACTTTGTGTTTTCTCCTTTCTTCTTTCCTCCTTCCTCCCCTTTCCTCCTCTGCTGTCTCCTTTTCCGTCTCTCTTCTCTTTCTTTCCCTTCCTCCCTTCCTGACATGGTCTTATGTATTCTGGCCTTGAACTTACTATGTAACCAAGGATAACCATGAAATGCAGGAAGGTTCATAGTTATCTGAACTATGAACTAAAACTATGAACTAAACTATGTTGTTGAGACAGAATTTCTCTACATAACTCTGGCTAACTTGGAACTCAGTCTGGCCTCACAGAGGTCTACCTGCCTCTACCTCCTAAGTGCACCACCATGCCCTGCTCCAGAAAAAAAGACTTTTTGAATACTGCTCTGTAATTGAATTTGGAACCATGGAACTCACTTTTAAAAGTTAATGCTTTGAAAACCCCTATAAATTGAAAATAAGTGGGATGAATGAATTTAACATTATCTACTTGGTAGTTCTAATTACACAAGGTAAATGCAGAATTTTAATAAAGGAATAAGAAGCCAGTGTTTCTTGCACACTGGCTTCTGAATTTTTGTTGTTGCTTTTTGTATGGAATACCTCATTCTGATAGCTGCTTAGCTGTTCCTGCCCACTCCTCCCCCCCCCCATTCATTTCTTTGCTCAAATTTTACCTCTTAGGACTTCCTGGATCTCCTATTTATCTGTATTTGTGTGTGTGTGTGTGTGTGTGTGTGTGTGTGTGTGTGTCTGAAAAAGGGTTTCTCTGTGTAGCCCTGCTGTCCTGGAGCTTACTCTGTAGACCAGGCTGACCTTGAACTCATACATCTTCCTGCTTCTGCTTTCTGAGTTCTGAGTGCTGGGATTAAAGGCCTATGCCACTATTGCTTGTCTTTTTTTTTTTTTCATCTTTGAAAAGTTATTTTTATTTATTTTATTTATTTTTAAAATGTATATTTTTATTTTACATGTATTATAAATGTTTTGCCTAGGTATATATGTGTGTGGTGTATGCCTGGTAGCAAAGGAGGTCAGAAAAAGATATCAGATCCACTGGAACTGGGGTTACAGATGATAGTAAGCAATTGTGTACATATTCACAACCAACTTGGGTCTTCTGCAAGAAAACAAGAGCACTTACTTAACCTCTGAGCCATCACTCCAGCTTCCTATATTTAAGTTTTTATTAATGGGTTTTTGTATATACTTGGGGGAATTTCTGCCATGTGTCTGAGTGTGCCCATGGAGGCTATAGGAGGGTATTAGAACCCCTGGAACTGGACTTATAGGTGGTTATGGGCCATTTGACATATTCTGGGAACCAATTTCTTGTCTTCTAGAAGAGCAGGGAGCACTGTAACCTGAGTCGTTTCTCCAGCCCCTCTTTCTTCATCCTCTATTTATTGCTTGCTCTTTTGGTTCTCACACAATGTTTACCCTAAGAACAGAGACTTTGTTTTGCTCATTTCTGTATCCACAGTTTAGAAAACACTTGGATAACTAGTCAGCTAATTGATTTGGGCAGTCAGTAAACTATTGAGCAATAAGGTTGAGAAGGAATACAGGAATTGTTAATCTTTTATTTCTATCAATCTACTATTTGATATGTTATAGTAAAAGTGACTTGCTTAAAATATAAAAACCAGTACATCAGGGGTATTTTAATAATTCACAGTGATCAATGGCATAATACTTTCTTTATTGTGCTTGCATTAATGAAAAAAGATTAACATGACTAAATGAATACTACATTTCAGGTCTTGGTGATGGACTTGGATGATGTATTTGAGATAGTAGCCCTATTCGATATTATTCGACTTACATTCAAACTCTTGATATGTGAGGGGTAGGCTGTCATGTTTGAAATTATCTTCTCTGAATATATGGCTTTTTATCTCTGTTTTAGCTAGAATTCTTTTTTTTTCTTTTTTTTTAAATTTTACATATCGATACCAGTTCCCTCTCCCTCCCTCCTTCCCTCCCTCTTTCCCTCTCTCCCAACCTCTCATGCCCCCCCACCCTCCCATCCCATTCCTGCCCCACTCTGCTTGTAGGGTGATGCCCTCCAGAGGGGTCATCTACATCTGTCAATTCATTTGGAGTAGGGTCTAGGCCTTCTCTCCTGTCTCTAGGTTAAGGGAGTATCCCTCCATGGGGAATGTGCCCCCAAAGTCCTTTTGTGCACCAGGAATACATCCTGGTTCCACTGCCTGAGGTCCCTTAGACTGCTCAGGCCCTCTAGCTGAGCCCCATGTTCAGGGGGTCTGAGTCAGTCCCATGCTGGATTCCCAGCTATCAGTCTGGGGGCCCCTTAGCTCCTCCTTGTTCAGGTCAGCTGTCTCTATGTGTTTCTGCAGCCTGGTCTTGTCCTCCCTCTCTGCATCTGGATTCCAGTTTGGCTCAGTGTTTAGCTGTGGGTGTCTGCTTCTGTTTCCATCAGCTACTAGATGAGGGCTCTATGATGGTGGATAAGTTAGTCTTCGATCTCATTATCAGGGAAGGGAATTTAAGGTAGCCTTTCCACTGTTGCTCAAATTGTTAGTTGGGGTCAGTCTTGTAGGTCTCTGGACATTTCTCTAGGTTCAGTTTTCTTTTCAAACCTATAATGGCTCCCTCTTTTATGGTCTCTCTCTCTTTCCCCCCCCTCCTCTCTCTCCTTTCTTCT